AGATTTCTACATTGTTGGCAGTGGGCAGCGAAGACTTCAAGCTTTTAAGATAAAAAGACTTGGGTCCCCTTCCAGTTCATTTATTAGTTGCTGAGTTTATGCAAGTCTCCTCTCCTCTCTGATTCTGTTTTCTGAGGCATAAAATAGTGTTAATAATATCTACTTGGCAAGGGGTTTGTGAGGATTAAAAGATACATTATATGTAAAATGCCTGGCATGATGCCTGGCATACAATAGATGATTAATAATAGAACCTTTCCACTTGTCTTCTTTTACCACCTTCTCTTAGTTCTATTTATTAGTTGCTTTGAAAGAGTGAGAAAGTAGAGGAGAAGGAGAAAGAGAACAAAGAGAATTATTTTAGTGAGTTCAGACATTATAAAAATCTCCCAATGAACTGACAGATTATTACAGACTCTAGAGGTTTGCTATTTATGTCTAGTTGCCAGTTAATGTTGTGTATGTGTGTGTGCCTTTCTGCAAGGATTATAATGTTGGCAGGTTGTTTAACTGCACAAGTTTGTGCGCATGTGTGTTGTGTTGACTTGTGTTAACTCATTTTTATTTTGTTTATAGAGTTAGGGAAATAAAACCCAGAGACAAAATCCATGGGCATTTTGCTAGAGATCAAGAACAACTTGAGACCTTTCTAGGCAGAACTCTATAGGAACCACCCAAAGAGGTGGCTCAATTTTAGTGCATTCGCACGAAGCAAATGGGCTAGGGGAGATTGAAAGTCTGAATTCGCAGTGTGACTTATATGTGGACATCTATACAGTAAATTTATTCATTTAACAAATATTGATTGGGAAGCTATCCCGTGCCGGAACTGAGCTACACCTGTGTGCCAGGACTAGACCAGAGGCGTGGATCCTCACCAAGCCATTAATTGCAGCCGGTCTCCTAAGCAAGAGCTGTAAAAGCACAAAGCCATTTTCCCAGCTGCTTTCCTGCCCTCTCCAATGAAGTGTCACCATCTGGGGCTAATCTGACACTTGACGCCAAACCAGACGTTCCAGAATATAATGTTTCCCAGCTTGTAAGGATCACGAAGGAAGGAACAACTCAAGGTTTGGTTACTCGTGCAAACGGTGAGGACTGTGGATCCTGCAGCAACACAACGACCTGGTGGCTGGTCCCGGGAAAGCCACTTGGCGTCAAGTATACTCGTCCCGTTTGAGACATGTGTAATCTCAAATCACTGCAAAATATGTTTCCAGGCTGCTGAGCCCTGATCTGAACGCTCCTGAAGTGCACGGCAACTCCTTTGTGCCAGTGGGGGACTTCTAAGCAAGTAAGATATTTCTCCCCAAGACTTGTCAGATTTGTGAAGGAAACTACTTTACAATTGTCAAAAATTATTATAATTGCACCTATTTTTCTGCAACTAGAACTTGTCAGCATAATAACCAGGTAGATCACAGTTATCAACACTTTTGTGGAGGGAACTTTTACCTGGCCTGTTTACCGGTTCCTTCAGTAATTAGAATCTTGCTCGCTAGTTCTCCGGCTTTGGGGACATATATCACCCCTCCCTATTTCTTTTCAAAGCACTATTTTGTTGAAAGAGTTTTAGGTAAAAGAAAAAACTGTTATGATTTCATAAGACAGCAAATAAGAGTGATGTAGTATTCACAGAAACAATTTTTTTCCAGGGCTTGTTTTCCTTTTAGAAATTTTTTGACAGAGAAGCAAAGAGAAGCAAAACTTTTTAAAACTTACAAACACTTCCATCTAGAAGTACCGTTAACATTTTAGTGTCTACCCTCTGGTTTTATACATATACACTAGACACCTACTTATTTCCTGGAACCAAAACGGGGTCACACTCTCCATGATGTTACATATCCCGTTTGCCCATGGGCCACTCAATGTTCTCCTGCATCATCATTTTTAATGGCAGCATAGTATTCCACTATATTATGCTCGATTTAACCAATAGAAGCATACGTTTGTGGCCTTGAGATAAATGATGCCTTGAGAGCTTCAGCTTTTAAACCACCTGTCCCTCTTGGCTATTCTGGAAGTTGTATTCTCCGCTGGTATCTGAATGTGTTCCTCTGCTCCTGGCTCCCTCGTGGTCAGTCCCCAGGGGGAGACTTCCAGTTGATTCAGGGGTTAATTGAGCTCAGGAAACTAAGTAAGTCCCCTGTTGTCATTCGGAAGAGGAGAACTACAACATGAATTAGGACATGACTTGTTACTGACCCAACACAGTGAGTTTCAGAGTATGTGAAATTTCTGAGTGGATTTTCACTCAGTCGACTAATATTGGTACAGCCCACTGTGTACGCCAGGCATCATGCTCCCCGCTAGGGATACGTTAGAGAACTAGACCAACTTGAGCTTAGGCTCTTCCTCACGGAGCTTACATTTTTTGACAGTTTAACAATTTTGAAAAGCCAAGAAAAGCAAAAAGCAGCCTCAAATCTTTGTTGTTGTTGCAAGTCAAGTGGGATGGAAATCACACACTACAAATACATGAAACGATCACACAAGACGTAAGATTCCTTTGTAAACTCAAAATTTTCCATTTTCTAAAGATCACATGCTCTGTATACTGAACATTACCTAAAAGATCAGAGTGTACAGAAAAGACATTCTCTAACCTTAGTTATGGAATAGAAGAGATACCTTAATATATTTGAATTATAGAAAACAAATTCCCTAGAGCTCAGGAGGCATTTGCCCAAAGAGTAAATGACAACATTTTAGACGTGAATTGACCCCAGGTGTAAAAGCAGTCGTGGAGGTGTGAAGAGGCCACACATCATGTTGATCAAGCGGAAGCTATTGAGAAGACAGTGGGAACTGGAACATCTATGAATATGGGAATAACTGAGTAAATTATGAATCACTCATTAGGGATACTATTATGCAGCCAGTAGCTAATAGAATTCTATTAGCGTAAGCTTGTATTTACTGACTTGGGAAGATATGTGTGGTACACATCACAGGGAGTAAACAAAGCTACAGAGTACTGCATATGGGATAACAATGCTATTTTTCTTGCTTTAAAAATAAGAAAGCAGAAAGTGGTGTGTCTGTCCATACATTTGAATACACTTGGATAAATAGGAAACAAGTGTGGAAGACTACTTAACTAACAATACCGATTATTTGGAATAAATGGAGCAGAGCTGAGACAGGGAGACAATTATTTCATAAACCGTGTCTTGTCACAATGATAAGGTGCTGGCATCGTAATTTTTTCAAGTAGAAAAATGGAGAAAAAGTTAGAAGGTGGCTGGGACTGAAAACATATCCTTGCTGTTATAATAATCAGCATTTATTCAGAAAGCACTTCTTGTTTGCAACAAGAGAGCACAATATTAGATTCACTACCCGACGGTAATCTAACTGGGGATATAAGGCCTATTCATGTGAAAAGGTTCATATTTTCGTGTTGAGAACAGAGTTGGCTTATTTATACTTATTTTTGGAAACGAGTGGAACAAAAGTGCTGCAATGAGTGAAGTTTGGATGTGGCATCATCTTCACCTCTGCCACTCACTTGCTATATGAACTTGGACGAGTTCCTTCACATCTCATCTGTAACGTGATCTCTTAGGCACTTCACTACTGGCATTGAGGAAGAAAACATCTGGATGCAAAGCAATTAGCGCTGCATGGACTGGCATGACAAGCATGGCCCCCTCTCTCAGCACTGAACTTGGGCTCCTCCAGGGGCTACTCTTTGAAGTTGAGCCCCTAGCTCCAAGGTCATTAGAAGACCTCTGGGAACCAAATCAGCCCCCACACCCAGTTTCAGAATCCTTGGCTCAACACAGGCCCTGGGGTCCAACGGTCAATATGCAAAACCAGGTAACCTTTGCTCAGGGCGCTAAGTTGCAAATCATTGGTGTCCGGTCCCTAATGAGTGCTAGTGGAAAGCCTCAGGACAAAAGTCATCATCCCCAAATTCCAATTCTAAGCTTCTCTCCGGCTGGGCTTAAGGCCTGGGGCGGTTCCACCCAGGTGGCAGGCCAGTGCCATCAGACCACAGTATGTCCTGTGTGGTGGCTGAGGAAAGTGGGGAGGAAGAGCCGAAACAGTCAAAGGACTGGATGTTCATGGGAACTGGGCAGGGAAGAAGGGGGAATACCAGGCGAGGCATTTGCAATTACCTCTGGTAAGGCATCAGCAAAATCTCACCAGCGGGCCCTCACCCCGGGAGCTCCCCATCCACGCTGCACTTCACAGGGGTCCCACTTTGGAAGAAATGCTCGGGAGAAAGAACATGGTGTGCAGTCTTTCCTTTCACCTGATATATTTAACAGTACTGCATTTTTCTTTTTAAATATAAAGACTGAATTTTGATTACTGAGGCAGTCTTCTGGCCTTGTGTCATGCTACTTTCCCTTCATCCTCAGCTTTTGATCGTCACAGTGCCAGATGTTATAAAGGAAAAGAACAAAGACAAGGTCCTTTAGGGACTGACAAAACTCCCATCTCAATGTGAGCAAGCAACGGGAAATAAGATCTATGGAACACAGCGGCTGAGGAAGTGTATTTTAGGGGTGGAGGTGGGAGCTCCACGTACTGTGTGGGAAGACTGAAGCAAGCTGCCAATCAAAATCTCCTCAAGGTTATTTAGCAGGAGGAGGGAGAGAAGAGGGGGCGATGGATCGTTTCGTGAGTTGAGCACCAGGGGAATACCCTGTAAATGAGAGAATGCTGAGAGGTAGAAGCATGAGTGGGCAGCTGCATGTCTTCTGCCACCACCACCCCCATGACGCTAGCTTATCATCTGCTAAAACCCCATTAACCGTGAAGCAGTCACGCTCCAAATGAGGCATCCCTAAAAAACATCTGATCTGTAGACTTAGGATCTGCTCCGGAGACAAATGCCCTTGCATAAAAAATGGTTTTTAAAGAACTAAAACTTGAGGAAACTTGATTATCTGATCAGGCTACTGACTTGTTCTTAAGTTAGGTTGTGCTGTACCTTTAAATAGTACCCAGGCGAGGAAATATATTGTTGTGGAAAGAGCACTCACCTGAGAATGTAGAGACAGGCACCCTCCTTTTCCCAGTTTGCAAATCAGAAACTCTGGGCCCTGGGGCAAGTCTCCCAACTTGTTCAGTCCTTTAATTCCCCACCGGGATTAAAAAAAAAAAAAAAAAAAAACGGACTAAGTCATCTCTCAATACTCTTTTCACTCCAGAATTCTGTATTTTGGCAAAGATCACTAGACAGAGACTAATGTTTTAATGGGTTGGCTCCAGTGATTCAGCACAAATGTGTTAAGCTATCCACTATTGAGCCCTACTGGTTTAAAAGAATCCGGCTGGTTAGTAAAAGTGCGTTGGTTCTTGGAAGCATGCAATGCACCTGGAGAATTGGAATCATTTTATAAACATGCTATGACTGTGCTTTTTACTTAATCTACACACCATGAAACGTCCCAGGGGGACAGCTCAGTGCAGTGGTGGCTTTAGAATGACAGAGACCCGGGTGCCTGGGTGGCTCAGATGGTTAAGCGTCTGCCTTCGGCTCAGGTCATGATCCCAGGGTCCTGGGATCGAGTCCCGCATCGGGCTTCCCGCTCCTTGGGAGCTTGCTTCTCCCTCTGCCTCTCTCTCTCTCTCTTTCTCTGTCTCTCATGAATAAATAAATAAAATCTTTAAAAAAAAAAAAAAGAATGACAGAGACCTCTCCGATGCAAACTCAATCAGTTCTTACCTTTGTGAACTGTGGCGAGGCACTGAACTTCTCTTACTCCTGAGTTTCTTGTCTGTGACTAGGAGACAATGAAGGCCACGTTGAAGGGTTAGGGTGAGGAGCAGGAACCCCAGCTTTCCACGGAGCAGTGCCGCAGACTAACCTAGTAGGAGTATGTGAAGCACTGGGCTCGGACAGGCCAGGTTCAAGGGTTTGTTTCATGGTTTCTTAGATATGCTCCTGTTTGAAAGTCACTTAGTTTCTCCAAGCCTTGGCTTCTCCCTGTGTGAGATGGGAATAATAACATTTAATACATACAATTACTGTTTGTTAAGAGTGTAGCATAGTTCATGGCACTTGGTAAGGACTTGGTAAGAGCAATTACAGTGCATTAACCCCAAATTCTGAATTGGCCTAATCTGGACACAGTAGCTGGAGTTACAAAGGGAAGGGGTCTTGTAAGAAAACAATTCTAATCTCCCTAGAAGATGAGCTACTGTTACATAGATGTTACAAAGTCCATTATGTTGAATTTATGTATTAATAGGGACCCCAGTGAAAGTAAAGGTCAACGTTGTTTTGATTTGCATATTGTTCTCTTTATGAAAAGGACTTCTACCTAACCTTTTATTTGTGAAGTTATTTCAGTATTTGAAATAAAAATACAACCATGGTATTTTCTTGACACAGTTGGGGTTAAGAGGAATTAAAAGCACACTTACTTTGAGGCATTAGGTTCTTTGGTGAGGAGCAACAAATATAACTCTGGTTCAACTTATTATAAGGATACTGGTGAGCACAACACATCAGACTGATGGAAGACTGGAGAAACAGGTTTAGAGGTGGGACAGGAACCAGGACAGGGACTCCTGGCTGAGGCAGTTCCTTCCCTCCTTACATCAGTATTGAAGAGAGAAAGGCCAGTTGCCCATGGCTTAGATCCTAGAAGGCCTTCCCTTCAGATCCTTGCCACAGGAAGATTCTGGCCAAAAGCTACTTCTGGAATCACCCACAATGGGGGAGAAGCAAATCCCCCCAAAGGAAAGAGGGATGCTGGGGGATCAACATCAACAAGGGTCCACTGCAGAGTCAGACAGACCTGCCTCCACATCCGCGCCTGCGGCTTGCTACGCAAACTGCTCCACTTCCCCAAGCCTGTCCCAAGATGGAGGTGACAGGACAGCTCTCCAAGGTTGCTTTGAGATATAAGTGTAGCAGTGCTTCGAAGCACCCAGCATAGCGCCTGTCACGTAGAGAGTATGTCCATTAGCTTCCCCTAAATCACACCGTCCTCTCTTATTTTGTTTGCCTTTTCTCTCTTAGTTTCATGTATATTTATTTGTTGCATGTTTCATACACTCATGCATATTCATATTCTATTTTAAGTGCGTGCTTCCAGAGAGAAGAGATCATGCCTCACTTTCAACAGTGCCATTTGCTGAATAACTGACGATGAGAGTAAGAGGGAGGCATTGCCCGAGTGATTATTTCAAATATTGTTTTGAAATTTGTTTATACCTCCATAATATGGTATTTATAAACGTAGTGAATGGTCATAGTTATGCTTGAGCTGTAGGCTTCCATTTTCTTTCCCATGGTCATGCTGAGGAACTCTGATGACACATAGACCACATTGTCCGTACAAGGCTTTTGATGACAGAATGATTGGCACAGCCTTACCTTCCTAAAGAGTTTGCTGATTCACTCATTCCATTTTTAAACATCAGCAGATTGGCATTGGTGACATCTGCTAATTATTTGGTCTGACTCGTGGCGAGCGTGAGACTTCCACCGGCAGCAGTCAGAAAGACATAAGCAATGTGAGGTTAATACTACCCAGTCCGTGACCAATTTGTAGTAATGAGTAGCCTTATCTAGTTTCCTGTGTTCCCCAGAGGTATCATTATTTATCATGCGTGGGAAACCTAGCTGTCAGAAGTGTAGCATAAACCTGACGAGACTGCATCTAACTTCATTCAGGAGGAAGGTGCCTTGTCTTCCTATTAATAGCATAACAACTCTCAAACTGCAATGGTCCATACAACTGCATGTTTAAAGCCTTCTACATCTCTCTTAGGGTCTCCTCTCAACTGTCATTCCAGTTTAAACCATTCTGAAGGAGAGTGGAAAATGACCTTTCTTGCTTCCTGGTACCAGGTTTAGAGAAGTGTCCCCTCAAATGGCCTTTTTCTTTTTTTTAACCATCATCATGTGACTAACACAGCTTCATTAAGACAGATTAGTAATGCTTCCTGGTTTAATTCAGAGTGAATTAAATCACACCTAATAAGCTAAGTGTTGTTTGCTTTTGTAATGCTCAGTGAAGATGAGAGAGGCAGTGGCCTCCGACCCGGGTAGTAGCCACGTTTGTTAATCCCTCATTCAACACTTTAGGTCACAATGAGGGTAGGTTTTCACCATGGTGCTTGCAATCTCCCAAAGCAAACAACAGGAGAATGCTTTCTGTCCCCTGCTTGCTCCTTGCCTGCTACTGCAGTAGATGACTCAGCACAGGGACCTTCCAGACAGGAATAGAGAAATGGGTGTATCATCTGCTAACGGCCCCTAGAAAGCCACAGATTTTGTGGGACTCACATATCAGGTTGGAGCTAAGTATGGAAGGGTCCGGTAAATGAATGGAGAGGAACACTCTCAGTAATAGTCAGCCCTGCTGGGGAAAACAGCGGACACCCTGGGCCATGGGTCTTGTTGCTCACTGGGGAGCCTTCTGGGGCACCCCAGCCACTGCTCTTTGTCTTGGCTACACCAGGTTCCTCCTGCCTCAGCACAGGGACACCCTGCTGCTCCCTCTGCCTAAAATGCACCCCAACCCCCCTCACGCACTAAACCCTACCTGTCTTTCAGAACTGAGCTGAAAGTTCACCTTGATGGGACAGACTGAGTCAGGATTCCAATCTTCTCACACCACCTGGTTCTTCTCCTTCCAGGCTCTTATTACAATTGTAATTGAAAATTTAATCACAGAAATTGTTGCTTAATGAGTTTGTCATCGCTAAAATGGTAGTCCCCCACCCCTGGAAGGCCTAATTTATGTTTGCATTTCAATTTTCCATATACATGGCAGGGGCACAATACATTTTTTTTTTTTTAATGAATGAATGAACCCTGAATTGAAAACTCAGCATTCTTTAATTTTACAACCCTTCTGCTGGTTTTGCAGCTAAACCAGAACCAGGTTTATTATGGAGTTTAATTCCAAAGATACCCCAGGGAGGGAAAGCAGAGAATGTAGGGAGGGGATGGCCGAATCAGGTCAGCATTCTCTTCACTCGGCTTCATCCAGGAGCAGCTGTATGCTAATGTAATTAAATGCCAAAGCAAGCCTGCAGAAACATTTCTTTCTACAAACTTCCCTAACTGTAGAAAGAGTGGGAGCTCTTTTCAAGCCCCGCCTACTTTTTACTGTTTGCCGTAATACTGACCCACCGTTCAAGACTAACATTTGTTTATTGTAACACCTGCATTTAGGACAGAAGGTTAGGTACTGAGTCAATGCCCATTGCTTTGTATGACCAGCAGCAGTGCTTCTCACTGGGCATAAGATACTCTGAGGTTATTTTCTCTGTGTCTTCTTCTGGAAATAAGCAATAATTGTGACTCTCCATTTACAGGTGGAGGAAATGAGCACAGGTAAATCTGGAACCTGTGACCACTGTCATACAGAGCTCCAGTAGCAGGCAAGACTGGGTCACCTCTAGAGCACCTGGAGGGAAATCCCAGGCCTCCAGGCAGTTTCCAAGGCCTGCAACTGATCGCAGATCCTGTTTCCCTTCCATCGGCTAAAAGTAAAATAAATACAAGTTACAGCCTGACTACCTTCTGAAATAATCCTGTAATGGTTAGTAAGGGAAAGAAGACAAAGTCCAGATGTTGACCTTTTTTTCTCTGCTTACTGTGAGTTGAATGCGTGGAGTGGAAGTGCTTTCTCTTTATGATGAAGCCCTGTATTAGAAAAATAGTGGGATACAGACCACGCAGGACAGTTATAGCAGGACATGGACGAAGACGCGGAAGGACAGGAATCCATCTATCTGAAACACAGCAAGAGAGAGGGAAGACTTTTTAGGGGCAAAAGCCACACGTAGATGCATTGTTTTAAACAAAACATTGGTTTCTTATTCATTTTTCAGTAAACGTTTATTGAAAACTGGCCATACATCAAGCTCTGTGGATACAACGAAAACAAATTGAAACTCCTGGTCTTTAGGCTTTTCGTTTCAGGACAGGCGGCAGATAGAGGATGGGAGGAAAGACAATACGCAAGTAAATAAGCAAACAAGAGAATTTCAAACAGCAATAAGCGTTACGGTAATGATCCACCAGGGGTAATATGATGAGAGTGAGTGGAGGTGGGGGTTTACTTTGGGTCTGTGCTGTCCAGCATAGCAGCCGCTAGTCACATGGGGCTCCTGAGAATTCAGCTGGTCCAAATTAAAATGCCATGTAAGAGAGATGGCAATTTCAAAGACTTAGTATAAGAAAAAAAATGTAAAATATCTCATTAAATTTTGTATACTAATTGGATGTTGAAATGATATTTTAGATATATTGGATTAAATCAAAATATTACAATTAATTTCCCTTTTAAAAATTTTATGTGGCTACTAGAATATTTACAGTTATTGGGGCACCTGGGTGTCTCAGTCAGTTAAGTGACTGACTCTTGATTTCAGCTCAGGTCATGATCTCAGGGTCATGGGATCAAGCCCCGCGTCAGCCTCTGCACTGAGCATGCAACTTGTTTAAGATTCTCCCTCTGCCTCTACCCTGCCCCTCCTCGCTCACTCACTCTCTCTCAATAAATAAATTAAAAAAAAAAAAGAATATTTACAGTTACATATATGGCTCACATTTATCTCCCCTGGTATGTCTACTGGGCAGCATCGTGTTAGAAAGTGTGTGCAGGGAAGGCTGCCGAGGAGGTGATAACACACGGAGGAGGGACTGGCCATGTGAAGGTCTGAGGGCAAAGAGGTGCAGACAAGGGGGACAGCGGTTGCAGAGAACCTGAGGTGGGGGCCAGCTTGGTGAGTTAGAAATTTAGAAAGCCAGGGTGCCTACAGAGAAAGCCAGGAGAGGGAGTGGTGGGGGTGAGCCAGGCCCCTGAGACCACAGCTTGCTCATACAGGGCCTGGGAAACCTGAGTAAGAAGTTAAAATTTTATAGAAATACAAATTTTCTATAAATTACTGGAGCAGATTTGCTTCTGTACAATTTTCCAAGAACTGTTCCAAAATACCGATACTCGGTATGAAACCCTGGCCAAAAAATGCAAAGAATCCCACTTAGCTCAGAATATGTCCATACTAAGGGAGGTTTACTTTGAGATACGCATTTATTACATTTATTTTCATATCGTGGTTACAATGTTTATATATGGGTGCTTTTTTTTTTATGAGGAAGAAGAGCACAGGTGGAAAAAGAATGTACTCAAATAAATCAAATATCTCAGTCTTATCTTTCTCTACTTTACTCATCCCAAGCTCAAACTCTCTCTGTGTGCATATAATAGTGGAAGGCAAGCAAATCCAAGTCCACCCAGAAAGTACGGAGTGTGGGTTGAGAGATAAATATTGAATTTTTCCACACATGAGTGTATTCACTGTATCTCTCTCTCTCTCTCTCTCTCTCTTTTTAACTGGGCTACTCCCAGGAAGAGGAAAATAATCTATTCTAACCCCTACGTCCCCGGTTGGGAGTGGTTATTAAAAAAAAAAAAAAGTGACTCGCTTAATGACCAAATATTTCTGATGTATTTTAGAGTTTACATATTGAATTTATTGCCATAAAGCAAAATGTTGAGTTTCACAAGAGGAAACATTTTTTGTTCCCAAATGTCAAATGGAAACTGACATCCATAATTATCAAGCTACTCTCACACAGACAATAAAAGGCAAAGCAGAACATGTCTTAACTAGAAATCCATGGTCACTAAATTAAAAAGGAATGAGCCCAAGTGTTCAGATTATCCAGGGACAAGACTGGTGTCTAGTCAAAATACACTGAACCTTGTCAGTCACTGGGGCCATGCTCATGAGAAGCAGAGCAGAGCTCTTGTACCTGGTCAAGGAAACCAGTGTGTGGGAGAGACAGCTGCCCAGCCGAGTCAGCAAGGTGTGGTCCTTTTATTTAAGAGTTCTTAATCTCTGCCATTATGCATGGATAGGGTCACAGTGCTTCTTCCCAGTCTACTACTCACTACTGAGATTTTTCCTTCATAAATTTGTACACCTAGAACTTCGTTTTAGCTTCGTTGATGGTCCAATAAGTGAAAACTTCTGAATGGTGACAGATTAAATGGATCCTGAGAGCATCACTGATGTACCTCTCTTAAAATAAAAGCCTCTATTTAAACAAAACTGAAAAGATTTGTTATAGCATATATCAGGGCTTGGCACAGAGTAGGTACTTGATAAATATTTGTTGAATGTTAGAATGCATGAATGTTAATTAAGATTTGGGGGAACCTTAATATGAGACTAGTTAATATCACAGCAAGGAATGCCCAAATCCTATGTTGGCCTGATCAGCTCCTTCTAGTGCGCTTCTTGGGGGAGCTATGCAATAAGGAACGATGGCAAGTGGAAATAAAAATATATATCTAATATGAGTCGCAGACATTTCATTATCCCAATAGTGGACTCTCTGGCAGGCTGAATGAACTGGAACCCTTGTTGTAGGCTCAAGTCTTCCGTGGGTCTAATTACACTTCTCTGTCCCAGCCTGTCCACAGGCTGGCTGCAGAACCTGAAAAAAATGAATTGCCCGGTGCTCAGAAAGCTCATTCTGCAATAAGAGGGAGAGAAAGTAAGATGGCTAGGTCTGCACTTTTGAAGCAGTGACCCTGTCAGACAACTGAATGGCCTTGTCCGCGTCCTTGAACTCAACAGATTTGCAACTCCTCCACCTGGAACCCGAGGGTTCTCAAGATAGCAGTGACCTTGGTAGAAGGAAGATTACATTGGAAATCAAATATTGGTAGCCATAATGTGTAACTGACAATTTTGTGAACTTCAAGAGCAAAGGTCAATACATCTCTGAAAATGTGGATGCGTGTAGTAATTACTGTAACTAAGCAGAAACCCTACAGAGCAAGTTTTATGAAACTCGTTTAAAATCTCATCAAAATGAGGTTTGTGGTAATGAAGCCACGTGCCAGGTCCACGTGCTTGCCTAGTGGAGGAGCAGGTATTTGAGCCCAGGTCTGTGCTTCGCTGCCATTGTGCACAGGGACGCATTTCTGTGACTTGAAATAACAGCAGAACCCTTTCGCCAACATTAATATTGTGAAAGCATTAATAAAATTTCCCAAATAAGAAATTGTTTGTTTGTTAGGTTATGTGTTAGTCATCATTGTTATTGATATAAATTGCATTAATTATATTTATGAAGACATGAATAATTAACAATAGAAAATGTAGTAAGGAGCAAGCATTTATAATGCAAGAATTCCTCCAGGCCCAAAGCAAGAAACAAAGAACTGTGTTTGGCTTTTGGTCTCATTTCTTGACATACCAACCCTGCACTTTATCTGTAACCATCTTCACCCTACTCTCAATATGAATGTATAAAGTCTGGTTTATTAACTTCTTTCCCATACTGGCTCATCTTCAGGATGTCGGAAGGGAAGTCACTTCCAGGTTTGTTTAAATCAGTGGCTCAATAACAACATCAAGAAATCAGGTCACTTAAACATTTGCTTTGTCCACAGACTCGCCCCTTTTATCATAGCCGGGTAATGGCTTGGCAGTTCCAAGTATCACGTGGAGACAGTTTTCAGCAGAAGAGATTGTCTCTTTCTGTGTTTCCCTTTTTCAAAAAAGGAAGACATTTCCTAGAAGACCCCGAGAGGATTTTCTTCACATCTCCTTGGCTAGAAATGGACTATATGGACACATTCTAGAGCAGATGCATCCTCTCGGCAGGGCATGGGTCTCCTCTTCTGATGATCGTGGTTGGGAGGGGGAAGAAGGATAGATGGAACAAAACCAGAACTCAGTTTGGAAGGAAGAAGCAGGGACAGAACAGATGGTGGGTGGATGACCGGCAATACACACTGCATCTCCTGTCTGAGTATCACTGTAGGCCTATGCCTTAGGGCCTAGAGTCTTTTCGTGATTACCCATTCCACAGACCCTTTCCAGATCAATTTTCCTAAAATACCACATTGGTGACTGTCACAGAACTCAGTGCCAACTTGTCAATCTAGCCTCCGGGGCTCTCTACGATTCACTCCAAACTTCCTCGACCTAGACCATATTCCCATGCAAGTCCTTCTGTTCAGGGTGACTTCTCTTTACCTCCCGTGCACCATATCTCACGCATTGCCTCTGTCCTGCCACCAAAGTGCTACTCCTGAAAACAAAGACCTAAACTGTACTGTTTTACTTAAAACACTTTCTTACAGGATGAAGTCTGAATTCCATAGCATCGCACACACGGCTTTTCACAAATTAGTCACTGCGTGTCTTTCCACAGAGTTTCTCTGTCAATCCCCATTTCCATCCTCACTTCCCTCCCCCACACTCCAACCGCATGGAAGGTTCTCACCCTTCCCAAACACAGTATGCTCTTTCATGTCTTCATGTCTTGTCATATGTTGTGCTCACTGCCTGGAATATATTTCTCATCTTTTTCCATCTGGTAAAGTTCCACTCATCATTCAAAGCCCAGATCAAAGTTCATTTCCTTCATAAATGCTTTCTAAATTCCCCAGGCAGGACTAATTTCTTCCCCCCTTTTGCTTCCAGAGTTCTATGACACCAGTTAATACATTGTAGAGTAACAATTAGTTTGCATCCATGTCTTCCACGAAAGTGGTTTTCTATAACAAACTACTATTATTATTATTATATTAATCTTTGTGCCCTCAGCCCCTGGTATAGAGCATATTCTCAGTAAAAGTTTGAGTGTGACTGACCCTTAAATACCCACTCTGTCTCAATTCTACTCATTCTTCCATTCCAAATGCCATCTCTTCTAGGACTTGTTATTCCCCTACTGATAAGAAGCTCT